CAGCTGGTTGCTGAGTGAGAAGGGCAAGGAAACCTGAGGCTCCTGAAAAAGTTCCCCCGACAGGCAGGGGGGTGGAGTGGGGGCTTCCCGAGGGAGGGCTGTGCTGGGGGTGGGGTGCTGCTCGGCAGAGCCGGGGCTCAGGGTCCAGTGTCTGAGTCCAGCTAGAACCTCTAAGGTGGAGCAGCAGGGAGGGGAGCCCAGCCTCATGCCCACCCAGGGGAAACTGGACCAGACTGCTCAGGAAATAAATTCCATTTTCCAGCATCACGGACAATAGCGTCCCCCTAACCCCCCCAAAAAAGCATAAGAAAAAAAAGCCCAGTTGCCTTTGCCTGAGCTGTTTCCCAACTTCATTTCTCAGCCTCAGCTCAAGGCTTCTCATTCAAAGTGACATGTGACTGCTTGGTGACCCCTGGCCTGATCTCAGCCTGAGGGGTCAGGCCAGGCAGGCCTGAACTCTGCTCCCAGGACCCGTGACCACCCCCACTTCTAAGAGCCCTGGGCAGGCCCAGGCCTGTGTGATGAGGGCGGGCCTGTAGTTAAAAAAAAACCTTCCCCAGAAGAGGTCAGGGGTGGGCGAGTCCTAAGTCCCAGGCAGCAGGCCCAGAAGGGTTTATATGTAAGCGGACCTTAAAAGTTTTGAAAATTTTTCTTTTGGGTGAGGGAGGTTGCCTTTAAAATGCAAGTCACCTGGTAAACCCCTGCAGGGGACGTTCATGGGACTCTAATGAGGGGAGATGGCCCTGCAGACTGGGGAAGGGTCAGCTTCCAGTTGTGCTATTTGCAGATGGTGGCCCGTGGGGGACTCCGGGCACTGGTAGAGGGAGGAAGGGTCAGCACAATCCGAAGTAGAGGGAAGACCCAGAGTGGGGGAAAAGTAGAGGCTGGAAGGAGATCCTGAATTTCTGGGGTGGGAGGGAGGAGGGGGGAAAGGCCACACAAGAAGCTTTGGGGAAAGCAGGGCAGTATCTTGGCTGGAGAGGGTGTGTGTGTGTGTTGGGGGTAGAGGTGGGGGATGGAAGGTGGGAGAGAGGATGGCTCTAGCCTGGTGGCTTGGAAAAGGTCACTCCCAAGAAGACCAGGGCTGAGAATAGCCTCCAAAACCTTCTCCAGCTCACCCATTACACAGATGGGAAACTGAGGCCTAGTGAGCCTGTGCCTTGCTTGCCCGAAGGCTTAAACAAGCCGATGGTAGAAGCAGATTAGAACTCAGGGCAACGTGTTTTTGTACTATCTCCCTGTGGGACCAAGGTGGGCGTTTGGGTACCCCAATGCTGCGGGATTCCTCAGGCACCAGAAAGGGGAAACTAAGTAATAAGGGCTTTCATTTGGGAGGAAGGAAGGAGGTCCTGATGGAAGGTTCTGGGTAGAAGATGACAAAGGAGGATATGCCACCTTCCAGGTGGAAAGGGGGGGGCGATTTCGTCACCAGCCTGAGCAGCCTGAGGCTGGGGACCAGGGTGGGGTAGGGGGGCCTAATCCCTGATGGGAGAAGAGGGGTTGGGCAGAGACAGAGGAAGGCGGGGCAGAGAACTCTATCCCGGTGTACCGGTGTCCCAGGAGGAGGCAGGGGACTGGACTTGATGGCCTCTGGTTTGATAGGCTCCAATGTCTTCCTGGTTATCATCATCACCACGGATTTGGGTCCAGGTTGCCTGGGTTCGAGTCTCACTCCAGCACTCACGGTTGGAACCTGGGGAATGAATAACCTAGTCCACAGTTCCAGATCCACCAAACGAGGCTCAAAAATAGGGATTGTGTGGTGTTGCCATCAAGATTAAATGAGATAGCATAGGGCAAAGCTTCTAACAAATACCACAGCCCGATGTGCGCCAGGCACTGTTCTAGGTGCTGGGGACTCAGTGCTGAGCCAGACGAGTCGTTTTTCTCACAGAGCTCCCGTTCCAGGGCCGTGGGGCTTGGCGTAGACAGACGTTAAGTGCTCAGCAAAAGGTTGACGGAGGTACTGTCCCGCGTCTTTAGGCTTCCCGTAACCTTAATTTTTAAAAATTTTGTTTCATTTATCTATTTATTTTTATTTATTGATGAGAGACAGAGAGAGAGAAACATTGAAGTGCTATTCCCCTTATTTATGCATTCATTGGTTGATTCTTGTATGTGCCCTGACTGGTGATTGAACCTGCAACCTTGGTGTATCAGGATGATGCTCTAACCAACTGAGCTATCCAGCCAGGGCCCATACCCTTGATTTTATAGGGTAGGGATATTGCAATTGAGAAAACTGGGCCTCGGTGTTCTGAGAAGTGATGGATCCCTCTCTCCAGGACACACACAGGAAATGCCACGTGAACAGTGAGAAGGTGGCCATCTGTAACCAAGAAGGAAGCTCACACCAGAACCCAACCATGCTGGCTTCCGGCTCTGGAACTGCAAGAGAGCAAGAAGTATCTGCTGGTCCAACTTGTTGAAACCACCCAGTCTATGGGGTTTTGTTATGGCAGCCTGAGCAGACTAATGCAAGGGGGAGTGGGCGTCTCTGGTCCTGCTCTTTCCCACACAGTCCTTCCAAGTTCCGAGAGAGCCAAGGACCCAGGCCCGGATCAGATGGGCTCCTGTTCCCACCTGTCTTGGAATAAGAGCCCCTCTTCTTAGGCTCTCATCCCTTTCTTGGCCTGAATTGCAAGTGCTCACAGCTTCCTCTTCCCATCACACTTCTCCCCAGCCCTGCCTCCTGCCCCACGGTCATATTTCAAAAGCACAAATGTGGTTGCCTACCCCCTGGCCCAAAAGCCTTTGATATCTCTCCATGACCGGCAGGATGAATTCCAAGCACATTCTCTGCATGGTTCTGCACCGCGCAACCTGCACAACCGCACGCAGAGATTCTGAGTCCAGCATCGCTCGTTCACTCACGGAACAAGTCCTCATTCCCTAGACATTCTCTGTTTAGCATGTGAGGCTCTTGGCGACTCAGCTCCTGCCTCTTTCCTTTGCTTCCTTTCTCACTCCTTTGGGTGCCGTACACTTCAGCCACACCAAACGTGATACCTTCTCACACCCGTGTGCTTTGCACACCAGTCCATCTCCCTGCTTGTCTGAGAATGCTGAGGAGGTAGAGTGGGCACAGGTTTGGAATCCTCTTTCTCTGCCATTCGCCAGCTCGGCGAATGTGGGCAGGTGAACCCCATGCACCTTAGTCTTCTAATCTGTAAAGTGGGGTTAAACACATATGATGTGCCTCGTGTTGCCCTCAGTACATGAGATTTTGCCTCCTTTTTTGCATGCTAAACTCCTGTCTGTCCTTGAAGACCCAATTTAAATGATGTCTCCTTGGTCACATTGCCCTCATTCCTCCCAAATGGGCGAAGTCTGTCTTCCCTGTTTTTACCCTTCCCGCCAGCCCTCACATGAGCAAAGCTGCAGCCAGAAAACAGTCGTTACATGAATCGAGGTACCAGTCTCTGGGTTGGGGGCCCTTAACCCCTTGCCCTGCCCCGGTTCCAAGCCCTGAGCCCACTGGATGGCACAAGAACTAAGGATAGGAGGTCAAGGATGAAACAGCAGAGGTGAGCACCTGGGCCTCAGTGAGAGATGACTGTGGGGAGGTAGTCGGAGAGGGGCTGGGAATGCGGGCGCTTCAGCCGCTGGAGGTCACTTTGCAGCCAGAAGGGAGGCAGGGCTCGTGGGGCATGGGGGTCTGAGTCTCAAATAGTTGGGGTGCAGGCAGCTGCCACCTCCCCTTGCCACTCGTCACTCCAGCAGCATCTGGGCTTTGCTCTGGGTCCAGCCGTTTGGGACAAAGGGGCAGAGGAATTATATGGAAAAAGAGTGAGAGAGAAGAAAAACTTTTCCATAAACAGGGAGGAGATGGGTTTGGGGTGGGTGGGTGGAGAAGGTACGATGAGGGGGAAGGGAGGAGAGAGGAAGGAACTAGCCACAGGGAAGTGGGAGGAGGCGGGCAACATCTGTGTGTGTAGAGAGCCGGGTGGAGAAAGGGATGAGGAGGGGCGGGAAGGTGAGAGAAGTGACACCGGAGGGGTATTAGGAGGGGGCTTTAAGGCCAAGGGCTGCAAGGCCTGAAACCTTCTGGAGAGAAAACTCCTGGGCGTCCACGTATGGGGGCAACGAGCCTTCCCCTCCTGGTGCCTGGGTTGGAGACAGTCCTTCCTCCCCTCTGCCCTCCAACTTCCTACCCACCCTTGCTGGGCTGGCTGCTTTGCCCACCAGCAAACGTCCAAGTCAAGTTCTGTGTCAAGTTCTCCCGGAGGAAAGATGAATTACGGCACATGCAGCAGAGATTCTTAGCTTCTATAGACTCTGTCCACAGCCTGGTGAGGGGGGTGGGCTGGGCCAGGGGCTGGAAGTGCAGTTTGGTAGTGGGGCGGGGGGGGGGGGGGGGGGAGCAGGACTATTCACAGCTGTTGGGAGCTCCTCTTTCAACACCTTCCAGGGCAGCACCTGCCACTGGGGCCCATGAGCCCAAACAGAAGTGGCAGCTCTCCCCTTCCTTAAGGCTCTTCAGGAAAGTGGGTTCCCCTGCAGCCCCTTTGGGTACCCCTTGGACTTGGACTGCCAGCAGCAGAAGCCAGGTAGAACCCCCAGGCTTAGGGTGAGATGATGGGGCCCCTGACCAGTTCTCTAGGGTTGGACTGGTCGCTTGGGGCTCATCTGGGTCCAAGGACTCTTCTGAACCCCTCTTGAGTGGTTCATGTCCCATTCACCTCTCCTTGCCCCTCAGGGCACCCAAGTGGGGCCCAGGAACCAGCGGGGGTACCACACAGGAGAAGGCCTAACCCTCTGTCTTCCTGGCAGAGTGGCAGGAAAGGGATCGTGCTGGACACAAGAGGGACAGAGCGGGGTTTAAGTGATGGTTTATGAAGTGGAAGCCAGTGGAGACTGTTCTGCTGGGAGGGGGTGGCACACAGGTGGGCTTCTCTAAGACATAGCCAACTCATTCCAACTCAGGTCCCCTTCTCTGCTCAGGTCCCCGTCTCTGAGGAGACAGTCCCAATGGCCTCAGAACCAGCTGTTGTGTGAAACAGACACTTTATTTTCCGTGATGAGAGCTACACAGGCACATTTTCCATAATGAGCTACATGAGTATATGGAGGGCTCTCTGCCAGCTCCTCCTTCCGCCCCTTGCCCCTGGGCTGTGACCTTGAGAACTTGGGTACTGTGACCTTGAGAACCTTGTCTAACATTCTGCCGTCTCTAGGGCTGGGGCAGTGCCAGACCACAGGCTGGGTGGGCTGGTCTCAGCCGGTCCACCAGCTCAGGGCCACTTCAGTCTGGTTTGGTTTCCTGGGTTGAAATCATAATCTGTGAGGCCCAACTTTGGCCAAAAATAATGATGCTCTAGCCAGGCCCACAGCTAGAAGACAGCAGGTTCTTGTCCTCATAGAGCAAAAGTGGGCTTCTTCTCTGAGCCTCCCTTTCCACCCTCATGGCGTGGCTTCCTTAGGCCTGCTGGACAAACTACCCCAGTTTCTGGAAGGCTAGGTGGGGGTGGGGCAGGAAAGACCGCCCAGCTTCTCCAAGCCTCTTGGAGTGGAGGCCTGGCTGCATTCCTGACTCTCTGCTGCCCCCCTGTGGCTGTAGGACTAGTTGTCTCCACACCACTGTGGGGTGGGAGTGGGGGTGTGTGTGTGCTGTGGGGTCAGGGGGACTCAGGAAGAGTGGAGCTGAGGCAGAACTGGAGAGATCCATTCTTTGTGTCTGTTCTGGAGGGATCTCAGGCAGGAATCTCTCTGTCCCCACCCCAAGTGTGGTCACACCAGCAACACTGGGACCGCTGTGACATCAACAGGAGGACACTTGCTTTCCCCAAACTTAAAAGAACAGTTGGGGCTTTGTCACTTATTTGCAATGAAGGGGATTAGACATTAAGAACGTGGGGACAGCTGGGGGCAAGTCCACCCTGGCTGAGCTGCCCGAACAGCCATGGCCTCCTGGCTGGAAGAACGCAGGGCAAAGAATTCAGCTTTGTTCTGGGAACAGCTGCCCAAGAAGACTTTAGGGAAATGTGGAAAGGAACAGATACGGAGGGAAAGAGAGCCAGCCCATCTCTGCATCCACCTACTCCCAGGCCAGCCACTGGCCAGGGCCCTGCTGTCCAACGAGCCAGCCCTGCTGTTTGCCGTGAACAGGGGCGCAGGCCTCGAGCGTCCAGGCTGGTGGAGCCAGGCGTCCTCAGAGGTGGTTTGCATGTGGGAGTCTCAGATGAGCGTGCTTCAGAAACTCAGGGACCTTGTTCAGACGCCCACCAAAGTCTCAGAGGAACAGTGGGTCCTATTGGCCTCCTTTCCTGGGTGAGGAAACTGAGGCCCAGGGGGGTCTGAATGAAGGTCACTGCTGAAGGTCATAGGATGCTCAAAGGTTTCCACTTAGTACCAGTCTCCTTAAGTTCAGTATATCGGCCCATCAGTGTGGTACAGCAGCATGTTGAGGGGTAGATAGGAATTCGGGGCAAGTCCCTTGGGATATCTGGGGACGCCTGCAGGGAGCACCCCTCTACAGCCTTTCTGTGTCCTGTAGCAGAGCAGTCACCAGGCTGATGACCTCTGAGGTTGGCTGCACCGTGTCATACTCTGCGAAGAGGTGGCACACGTTCTCCTGGGATTCAGTCTGGCTCTTGGCCACAAACCCAAAGATCCTGGTGGGAGAGGGCAGCCTGAGTGAGGACGGGCTCCTAGGGAGGCCCCCTGCTCAACCCGCAGAGCCCCTCTCTGCTCCTTCCCCAGCCGAGTGGCCCTGGCACCTCATTACAGTTTGAGCTCTCCGAGACGGGGTGTCAGACTGGGAGGTCCCTGAGTTCAAGATCTGGGTTCTCTTCATTTTGAAGTGGGGGTCCCCGGGGACAGGGCCTGTGCATTTCCCAACAGAGTGGGGAGGGCAAGGATGTGTCTCGGCCATCAGCCAGGAGCCTTCCTACAGACTAAGGGGCTCCCCAAGGTTAGGGCCTGTGATGCCCCCATTAAAACCACGGGTTCTTAAGGTCAGGACGGGCCCCCATTCTTCCTTAATTCCCTCCCCATGCTGGGCGGGAGGCCCTGCCTCAGATCTCTTATGGTGACCGACCGAGTGGACAGGAAGGCCTTACCGGGAGGGCTTGCAGTACTTCTGCCACCTGTGGGAAGGAACACGGACAGTAGTGAGTGCTGAGCCTCTGCTCCATGCCTCCGGCTCTGGCCCCAGCCTCTGGCTGAGCAGGGTGGAGAACACCCAGCTTTGTCCCCGCCCCCACCACATCCCGCCTGCCCCTCCGTCTGCTGCCCCTGGCCTGTCTGGGCTCCCGACCCCAGAGCCAGAAGGAAACTTCATGGGCGGCTGGGCCCTGGATGGCCTTCTTCGGGTGGCCCAGCTAGAACTCACTTTTGTTGCTCGGGGTCCATGCCACAGAAGCGGAGGGTGGTGAGGGGGTAATGGCGCCGGAAAAACAGCCTGGGAGGAGAAAGGAGAGAAGGGGAGCAGGTGAAAGCTGGTCCCTGGGTCGTGTGCCTCCACCGTCTCCAGCTCCCTGTCCTCCTGGCCTCCCAGCTGGTCCCCTTGCAGCCCACCGTGATCTTTCACACCCCAGGTCCCGGGGCCTGTGTCTGTACTTCCCGCCTTTGTGGGGTGCTTCTGCCATGTGTCTGTCCTACATGTTGGGGTTTTCTGGCCCCTTTCTCCTCCCCACCCAACCAGTCATCTAACTATTTGAGGACAGGAATTATGTCTTGGTCGTCTCTTGCTTTTCCAGTCCAGGACCAGGCTCTTGCTAGACTGTAAATCCCTGAGCCCAGGGAAGGAGCAACCTCATCCCACTGAGTCCCAGTCGCAGGCGGGTGTTCTGTCAGTGGGTGTGGACGTAATCGATGCCCAATGAATGCTGGTTGATTCCATCTCCGTCCGTCACAGTGAAAAGGGGCTTTGGCAGGTCACTGGAGTGAGGCTCAATGAAGACACAGAACTTGCCTGGGGTCACTCAGCATGTCACTGACCCCGTGGGGTCCAGGACACTGGACTCCGCCTTCATCACCGATCCATAACCATCTTGGCCATGCCCTCCAGCTCACCCTGCCCAGCCCTGTAGCCCCAGGGTAAGGGAAGTCCCTTACTTCCTCTGGAGGTCGGTCAAGGTGATGCCCTGCTCGGTGACTTTGAAGTGGACCGTAGTGGGTGTAGGGAGGACGTCCCTCTCCAAGGTGGTCGAGATGGCCTTCCGTATGGCCAAGGCTCCAGTGAGGGTCTCCACACTCACAGAACTCAGGTAGAGGGCATGGCAGCCTGTGGGATGCAGACAGTGTGCCGGGGTTCAGCCAGGATCCGTGGGATGAGCAGGGGTCACCCAGGCCCTGGTCCTTCTTCTGGCCAGAGCCAGGGGACAGGGTGGCCTGTCTTCTTCAGAAAGCCAGTAGGGCTCCTCTTTGAGCCACCGGGCAGACAGACTGAGCCTGTGTGGGTGACTCTAATTTGCGGCCGACCCCTGAGGATCATCTGTTGCTTTCTACTACCCTGGCCCCTGGCCCTCCAGGGTAGGACGACCTTGCCCTGTGTGTAGGGACGCTCAGGCAAACCTTCCTTCCACCGAGACCCATGGCTGGTGTTGCCTCCCCCTCCCCCTCCCCCTTGGAGCCCCTGTCATTGTTGAGAGAAGAAAAAAGACAAGGATGGGGAGGGGACTATTGTGCTCAGGGGCACAAAGTAGGAGATGTCACTCAAACAAGTGCTGATCTGTGATTGGCCTCTTGATGTGAGGAGGTGGGACCTTCTGCCGGTGGAAACCCCCAGGCCCCCCCAGAGCATGGCAGACACAGAGATCACCTCTAGAGCAGGTACCGTGGGCCCCAACAGACCCCAGCACGTCCGCCTGTGCCCCTGTGTGTGCAGGATGCGGGGTCAGCCTCCCCAGGGCCCCTGCTCTCCAGCCCCTCCTCCCCTCGGCCCACTGCCTGCAGCCTCTCATCTCCCGGTTTACAGGGAAGGGAGGAATGTGGCACCTTGTAAAAGATGAAGAAATAAAGCTGTGATGAGAAACACGTGTGCATGCATGCAGGGCTGGGAGGTGCCCTCCAGGGGCACGGCCAAGCTGGGAGCCTCCCACGCACCACTCACCCGCAGATTTCTTCAGGCAGGAAGCCCGGCTGTCTGCAGAGGGGTCTGAGGCTCCGTCTCCACCTCCTAATTCTGGGCCAAGGTAAAGGAACAAGCCCCGAGGGGCCAGGGTGGAGTGAGTGGAACCCTCTCCTAGGAACAGGCTTCATTAATGCCTTTGAACATCTCCACCACCGCCCACACCTTCAGGAAGTGACTGGGCTGAGAAACCAGGTGTGATTACTGTAATCAGGGGAACGGGGCTACTTCGGGCTCCCCAGTGCCCAGCTTGCAAGCCTTTTGATCCATCCTTCCCTTCCTTACTCCTCCAGCCCCTGGACAGCTGCAGTGACCTGGTCCTCAGAAGCTCCGGACCCCTCACTTCGTTCCAATCCGCACCAACCCAGGCCTTGCTTCGCTGCACGTAGAGAGCCTGGCGCCATCCCTCCCCCAGGGGCTCCCTTGTCGTGCTTCCTCTCCCAGAAGCCCCCTTGCTGCTCCTCCTGTGAGATGACCCCCTCCCTTGCTTTGTTGGGGGTGCAGCTCAGCTGTAAACTCTGGAGGGGGCTTCCTGCTCTGGGCTTGAGGCCTGACTCTGAGTGCCTTTGGGTGAGTTACTTAACACCCCGAACCCTACTTTTCTTGTCTGTGAAATGGGGGTAACAGCAACATCTACTCTACTGGGTGAAGTGAGGTATGAATGAATGAGGGAGTCCCCAGTAAATGTTAGTCCTGGAAGGAAAAAACCCCAAACCTCCCCAGACTGGCTAATTTAACGTTCCTTTGATTCTCTCAAAGAAGGCTACTATTCATCAAACGTCCACTGCGCCAGGCATCGTGCTGAGAGCCTTGCCCGGGTTATCTCATTTAATCCACGCACCAGTCCGATAAGTAGGCCTGATGACAGCTGTCCCCATTTCACAGGTGAGGAAACTGAGGCCCAGGGATAAGCACCCTTAAATTCTCATAGCATGGAAGCAGAGATGTTGACAGATCCTGGAGTATGTACTGGTCACTGTGGCACTGAAATAGCCCACAAATCAGGGGAGACGTGACCACTCGAAGCCCTTCCCTTCCGGTGAGAACACGCAGACCCGGCGCCCCGCCTCTGCCTCCTCGGGCAGACCCACCTTTCTGCGGGATGGCGAGTCTGCAGGGCAGGGCCAGGGCCATGATGGAGTGCTGGCACACGAAGGCCGAGAGGCTCCCTGCAAGGATACAGGCGGTCTTGTGTGAGAAGGCCTTTCCCTGACCACCCTCCCGGCCCAGGGTGGCAGGCCCAACCTCCGGGCCTGGGGGCTCACCAAAGTAGGGCTCCTCATCTGCCCCTTTGAGATGCACCCCTTTGGCGGTGGACTCGATGAGGAAGTGGCGGATCAGGTCACTGCTGTCCTCACCTGGACGCAGAAAGAAGAGAGCATGGGTGTGGGTGAGTGATCCAGAGCCCGTTCTGCGTCTGTCCAGAGGCCAACTTGTTCCTCTGCCTCCTGCCTCTGGGGCTGCAGGTGGGACTCCGGTCTCTAAGGCCTCCTCCGAAAGAGGTGCCCACAATTCTGCTCAAAGACTTCTGCGTCCAGTAACTCTGTCTTCAGGAGACCTTTCTCCTCGTCTCAAGAACTCTCAGGGATGGTTTAGATCAAACCTCAACTCTTCCGCCTGGCTTCTCTCTCCCTCTCCCCGCTCCCTCCCAGCACCCACGATTCTCCACTAGACAGTCTCTGCTGGAGCTGGCCTGGGAGGGCAAACCATGCCCTCGGCTCCTTCTTTAGGAGCTTCCGAAGCTCCTCTCTCCTGGCTCAGGGGCGAGGCTTCCTTGATAACCAACAGCACCCCGGGGCTCACTTTCTCATTTAGTCCAGGAGGGTAAAGAAGTCCTGGCTGGCTTTTCTTCCTTGGGTTTTCCCTCTACCACTTACTTGCTCTGTGGGGTGTCTGCTAACTCTTGGTGCCCGGCACCTCACGTTCGTTGTAGGGAGCTGTACTCCTGGGGTTTGGGGAGGGGCTGTGACCAGGGACCTCGTACAGCGGGGACCTGTGTTTAACCTCTTTCCCCAGTGAGGCACCCTGGTGCCTTCCACAGTGCCTGGGGCAGGGTGGACGTTCTGTCCCTGTGTGTTGCGTATGCGAGACCACAGGCAAGCACGTGATACACTGTCACACACGTGTTTTTACACGTGGTCGGATCTGGAGGGGGGTAGGCACTCAGAAGAGAGCAGCCTGGAGAGGGGCTGGGACCTTCCTCCTCCTCTTCCCGCTATGAGATTAAAGCAGGGAATCTGGGGACCCGGGGAGGGGCTTTCACGGTCAGGCTGGCTGTGAAAGGAGCTTCTCACAGAGCCCCAGGGCTGGAGGGCCGCTGGGGGAGGCTGAGGTGGACCCTGCTCCCAGGGGTCATGGCGGGCCCGGCCCAGGGTCACCCTGCAAGCAGCAGCAGAGCTGGGACTAGACCCCACCATACACTGTTGCCTCCGACGGGCCCTGAGGGAGGACTGAGACAGGCGCATACCTGACGTGTTCTGGGCAGCTGCGGGGGCCTCCTGCACCTTCAGGGCCAGGCCGAATGAGCCTCTGTATGACGAGCTGTCCCTCACGACGAAAGTCCCCGGCCCCTCCTTCCTCAGAAGCTCGATGGCTGGAATGATCCTTGGGTCAGAGACAGTGACCACCCCACCTGGACGCCCTCTGCCCACCAGCCCCACAGGGTCTTTGTAGAGCGGACGTTACAGAGCCACCTCCTGTCCCCAGGAAGTCCTTGCCCTGGTGCGATCTCCACCACAGCTGCTTCTAGAGCCTGGTCCTCAGGTCGTGAGGGCCGCAGGACACGCCCTTCCCTGGACCTGCCCCTGTCGTTCCCTTCTCTGCCACCGCCCAGGGCCCCAACTTCAGGACCCAGGCCTGACTCCCCCGAAGCACCGGGCTTTCTCTTACCTTGCTCTCGGGTGATGCTTGGCTTAAACCAGTATTTAGAGGTGTCCATCACAAACTTCATGATGGGCTGCATGTCCCTGGCAGGACCTGGAGATGGACAGAGAAGGGGGACCCTGTAGGCTGGACAGAGGGGAGCTGGGAGACATTTCTACATCCCCTGCCTAGTGGTCCCATTCAACCCACCCTCCTACCCTAGCCACACTGTATCTCCACCTGCCTGAAAGGGCAAAATGCAACGGAAGAACTTCAGGGTTCAGTGCATCTAGTATGTAGGGGTCTTCCCTTGTATCCTTGGTAATGGATTAAAAAAACCCCAAATAGATAAAAATCTCAGTTTAATGAGAAACAGTTTCTCAAACCTAGTGTTGCCTGCAGGGGACTGAAGAAAGGATAAATAAGCGATTCTGAGATCCATCACTTGTTTGATTTCACACTCTTCTCCTCCTTAATAACCCTGCAGGTTCCTTTGGGATTTATTCAGTTTGGAAAAGAAAATGAAAGAGAGGGTGGAGGAAAGGAAAACAGCAGATATGGGCAGGAAAGTGTGTGCTCGGAGGTCAGGAGATGGGATTCCTGACTCTGACTGGGGACCGCTGTTCGGCCCCTAAAGCCCAGAGGGGACTGAGTGAACTCAAACCTCAGAAGGCCCCTTATGCTCCAATAGCCTGTGAAGTTACAAGGAATTTTGTTGTGAGACTATTTTGCCAAATCGAGTAAGATCCCAGGGTATGAGGAGTGATCATTCCAGGAATCACCAGACCAGGACAGGACTATCACCATATGAAGTCAGTGTGCTGTTTGAGTTGTTCAAATGCCCATTTTCCGGGTCCCTAAGGCAGAGAGCAGCAGCTCTTCATTTCCGCATCTTGAAAAGCTGTGTTGTGGTCAGCTGAGAGTAACTCACAAAAACTGAACTAAAATCTGCAAATGTGTCCTAGGAAAACGGTCAGAGCAGATCCAAAGGCCTGCACATTTCTCTTGCGTTGACATGGCTTCAAGAGTGGGATGGAGCAGCTGGCTGGAGTCAGCATTTCATCCCCCTTGTCCCCCGAACCCTCTTGCAGTCCTGAGTCACCTTGACACCATGTCTGCCAGTCCAGGGAGGGCTGCGAGGCCGACCCTGGGAAGGAGATGGCTGAGCGAGGAGGGGCAGTGAGTGTCCCTGGGGCTCTCAGGGGCTCTGATCACGGCCTATTGTTTACCGCTTTGGGCTCCAGCTGGGTTTGCTCTTTTGGAGGCCTCCAGACGCAGCCTCCGGGGAGGAGGGTGTGTGCTGTTTCGTGGTTTTAGCCGTCTGAACCCGCAGGCCTCGTCTTCGTTCCCCTGTCCGCCCTCATCTGCCGGTCCATCCACCCGCGTCAGAGTTACTGCTGACTCACTCGCCCTCTCCCTCTCCCGTTGCCTGAAGGGTAAAAATCTACCCTTTAGCTTAGTGTTCAAGGCCTTTTACAGTCTGGCCCTAAAGTACTCTCAGCGACCTCACGGGCACCCAACATTGCAGTCATTTCCTAAACGTCCCTGTGCTCCACACCTGCACGGTGTGTGCTGGTGGGCGCTGCGCCCTCTGCGGGGGACACCTTCCTCTCCTGCTTCGGCTGTGGACTCCTGATCTGCATCCAGATCCAGTGAAGGTGGCCCTTCCTCCGAGGAGTCCTCCCAGTTCTCCAGACTGAAGGGATCACCCCTCCCTCTGTGGCCCCCTATGACTTCGAACATTTCTTTACCCTCGTGATTATCCTATTCTACAGTTATCCTTGGTTTGGTCTCTCTTTTCTTTTTTCTTTTTCTTTTTTTAAGATTTTATTAATTTATCTTTAGAGGGGAAGGGAAGGAGAGAGGGAGAGAAATATCAATGTATGGTTGCCTCTTGTGCATCCCCCGCTGGGAACTGGCCTGCAACCCAGGCACGTGCCCTGACTGGGAATCGAACCACAATTCTTTGATTCTCAGGCCCAAGCTCAATCCACTGAGCTACACCAGCCAGGTGGTCTTTCTTTCTAGACTAATTCCCTCTCTCCCAACTCCCTGGCATGGTGCTTGGCGCACAGTAGGCACTCAGGCAGTGCGTTGACTGACTATCGCAGAAGCCCACTGGTGCTTTGTCTCCCCCCGTAGCCAAAGCCTGCAGAGCTCGAGGTGTTGGCTTACCGGTGCCTTCTGGGGATGGGGCGGGAGAGGCATCTGGCGGGGACTGGCTGTGGCTCCTGGTGGCCGGACAAGGGTTGCTGGCAGAAGCAGCCCCAGATCGGATGGAGTCCTGGTGTCCTGGCATCCCCTGGGGTTGGGGAGACCCTGGTTCCAGGCAGCCGTTGATCAACACGATGGGTATGTCCACCATGGAGTTGGCGATGGATGGGGGGCAGCTGCTGGCATGTTCCTTGGCCAGTGGTGGGGAACAGGTGGCTCTGGGCTGGCCCATGCCTGCGATGATATTGCTGGGGACCTGGATGTCACTGGCTTTTGTACACAGGGGCACTGGGCCCAGGCTGTGGAGGCTGGACGAAGAGCTGGCTGGGCTTTCCAAGGACCTTGAACATGACTGTTGCCTGGAGAGGCTGGAGTGGAGGAGGGACTGGCTGCTGCAAGGGGAGAGAGCAGCAGATGGGCAGAGTGTTAGGGTGTTGAGGTGGACGCTTGGGGGCGAGAGACAGGCTCTGTTATTTAGTGATCTAGGTGCCTGTGGCCTTGGCCAAATAAAATACTGCAGAATCCACTCTCTATGGCCCAGAGCAAAAGGCATGCCTGCCTGACCCCCAAGGGGTGCTGAAGGACACAGAAATGTCCCTGCTCTGTGAGTCTTTAGTTGATTAAAGTAGCTGAATGGGCTGTCCCTCCACACATCACAGGGCTCAGGTTGGACGGACTCCCTCTGCTCCCCCAGCAAGGCAGGTCTGACTGAGTTGTCACACCAGCACCCCCACCACGCTGTCTCTCCCGCAAGCCCTGCACACGGGCTGGACCCACGCTGTACCGCCTCCGATCTAACGCAGAGGGAATCTCCCGGCTCTGCACTCAGCCGGACTCTCCCTGAGCTCACAGGCCTGGGCCAGTGGGCATGGCTGGCCTCCACACAGCAGCTCTGGAACTGGGGTGGGGGGACAGCGGCCCTGAGGTCTGGCCTTCCCGTGCAGGGTGTGTGTGCGAATGTAGCTCTACTGGGAGGCCTGTGGGGACGTTGTCAACAATGCCGGCGGGTCTGCCTTCCTCCCGCTGGGTTTTGCCAGCCACAAAGAGGAAGGAGTCTCTTCTTTCCTAAATGGTTCATCCTAGGCCCCTCAGGTCTATTTACATCCTTTTTTAAAAAACAAAACAAAACAAGAACCAAACCCTTCCTCTAGATGGACTGTATGAAGGCTGGAAAGAATGCAGGTGGGCCTTATGAATACAATTCTTTTCCCAAAAGGTGAATGTAAGTCAAGATTTTTGTGTACTGAATCATATTCTGAATGGAAGGCTTGAGATCTCAATGGCTGTGGGGGCATAAAAGAGAACATCCACTCTTTTATTTTTGGTATATTCTCAGATTTTGCTCAGAGCAGGGCTTTTCTCCAGTTTGAGCCTCTGTGTGTGTGCGCGTGTGTGCGCGTGTGTGTGTGTGTGTGCTGGGGGGAGCCATCAGAAGCTATCCTGGGAGTGACCTACCTTCCAAACACATAGCTGATGTCAGATGCTGGGCTGGCTGAGAGCGAGGACACCCTGCTGCCGTGCTGTGGGCCAGGGGCCCCCAGCCCCTTCTCCAAGCCCGCCGAAGCCTTCAGTGGGGAACCCAAGCCCTGGGGGCCCGAGGCCTTGCTCCTCATGCAGGGGATGGAGATGCTAGGAGAGGGCGGAGGATGAGAAGACGGAGCCCCAGATGGGGGTGGAGGACGCTGGTGGCCCCTGCCTTGGTTCCCAGAGAAGATGAGGCTTTCACTGCTGCTGCGGGTCTCTCGGGGGACGTCTCTGGAAAGGAGGAGGCTGCCGCTGCGCGGGGAGCCGAAAGGCGGGCTGACAGATGGGCTGGAGCAGCGCTGGGGGCCATCGTGGCATGCTGACCTCGTGGAGGTCACCTCGATGTACTTGATATCTTTGGGGAGAGAGGCAGAGCATTGGTGAAACTGGGAGGCTGGATGCGCAGCACAGGGACGCTGGGAGGGCCCCCCTCTCCTATACAGACCAGACGACTGAGACTCAAAGAAGAGAATCTCCCTGGAATCAGGATTGGTATCCACCTCCACCCGCAGGGCCCCGTGCCAAAGTCACCCTCTTTGTGGCATCTTCCCTTGGTGGGGACAGACCTTGCCTTGGAGTCAGACAGACCTGGGCTTCAGATCGGGCTCTGCCGCTTCCTATCTGAGAGTTTGGCTAACTGACTTCATCACCCGGAAGCTCAGTTTCCACACCCGTCAAATGGGGCAGTGAGGATGAAATGAGATGAATGGTGGGGGCCCATTGCCATGCCTGTCACATAGTTAGCCCTTTAAAACCAGCACATAGTAGGCCCCTTGTGTATGCCCCACCCTTCAGGCTGAAATGGCTGCTTACCAGAGTGTGCCAGCCGCCTCCTCTGGTGCTTCTATTACTCAGGGCATGAGAAAGCTGTTTCTATGTCTGTACCTACTATGACGCCCTGGTTGCGCCCTAGATGAGCTTTTAAAAGTGCTAATGCCCAGGCTCCCCTTTGCGCCTATTAGACCAGCATCTCTGGGGTGGGCTCAGGCCTCAGGTTGTTTGTTTAGTTCCCCAGTTGGAATCCCACGTTGGTGATTCCAGCGTCACGGTGGCCTCAGAATCCCATGTTGGTGATTCCAGCGTCACGGTGGCCCCTGCCCAGCAGCTCACTCCACCTGGGAGCTGGCCGGATGTGCAGAATCTCAGGCTCCACCCCAGGCCTATCGCATCAGAATCTGCAATTTTAGCAAGAACCTGGGGATCCGGTCCACTGCAGAGTTTGAGAACTCTGCTTCAGAGCACGAGTTCCCAGAGGGCTGGGCGGGCCATGCTGGTGGCTGGTGCACGGTGGCTGGTCATCGCACTTGGCCCTGGCTGCTGGCTCACTCCTAAGCCCTTAAATTCCCCAGTGGGGGCACCTAGAACTTTTGTCCCCACACCACGTTCCTCCCTGGAGCGTGGTGCCCTGTGGTTCTCTTCATGGTGGGGATGGACGCCCTTCTTCCTGGACTGGGGGAGAGGAGCTATCCTCAGTACTTTTCCATCAAAGGTGGTGGAAACTGGGGGTTGCTGAGGGCTGTGACGCCCTGCCTCTGGCTTCCCAGGATGGAAACTGAGGCAGAGGCAGCAGGAAACTGCACCCCAGCTCCTGTCTGCCTGCCCCTCACCTCCTTGGGCCCTGGCATGTGCACCCCACCTGCCATGACTCTGGAGTTCCTGCCTGCCCCAGCCCGCTCTGGGGCAGGGCCTTCTGGCTCTGCTCACCAGCACTGCCTCTGTCTGAGCCTGCTTGGGCCAGAACTGGGGTGCAGGATTGCGTCAGATGGCAATGGCAGGCGATGGCAGGCCGACCTGGGCTTGTTGCTCCAGAGGTGGAGGCCTGGGCCTGGCTTTGTCGTCAGACGAGCCTGGGTGTGGGTCCCGGCTTTGCCACTTTTCCGCCAAGAGGCATCGGGTAACTTTCCTAACTGCCCTGAACCTCAGTTTCCTCGTGTGCACAGTGGGGATGTAAAACCGACGATTGTGGTAAGGGTGAAGTACACGGAGGAATGGAGTCTGGCCCGCACTGGGATTCCCAGAGCATCTTCTCCCGCCTGCTTTTGGGGGCAGTATCGGCCAGGTGGCTAATACTCACTGGCTAAAGCATGGGTCCCACTGCTGACGGCAAGAGGAGAATATTTGGCACAATGTGCTGTGGGCTGTGAAAGAAATGAGGTCTCGGAATGGGGTGGATTCTTCTGGAAGTTTGGCAAGCACAACTTGTATTTTTATAGGACTTTATAGTGTTTATACCCATAATCCTTTCAAGCTTCACAACGGTCCTCACGCCCAGTGCCAGCAGGCATCACTTTTATAGAGGACACTGAGGCCCAGAGAAATGGGGGAAGGGGTGGAGCTGACATTTACTGCACGATTTTTAATAAAGGCTGGTATTTATTAAGTGCTGCGTGCCAGCACTGTTACGGACATGTTACCTGTATTAATTTATTCAGCCCTCACGATAACTCCATGGAAGCAAGAAATACTATTAATTCCCTATAACAGATGAGAAATGGGGGCACAGAAAGGTTAGGGGAGATGTCCAGGGCCACACAGCCAGGGAGTAAGAGGAACTGGGCTTCTGCGCCTGTGCTCTGACTGGGGGCTTCTTGCCTGGAGGAGAGGCTCCTGGGGACCCTTTCCCTGAGGCCTTGCGCCGTGAGAAGGTGCTTGGCTGCTTTGAGGAGGGTCTGTTGGTCTGGGGAAGCTCTGGACCACTTCCTTACCGGGTGGCTCAAACTCTCCAAAGGCAGTGCTGGGGGAGGAGGTAGCCCACGGAGAGTGCAGGAGCGGCCCTGGAGCTGTGAGTCACTTCCTGTTGCCCTGAGGTGCACACGGCTGGGGGAGGGGGCGGCCCCCACCCCTCACCTGGTGCAGTCATTGTTACAGGCCCCTGGGCGAGTCTGAGCAGCTTGAAGTGGAAGCCGCGCCAGCACCTAGGTGGGTGGGTGGGGTCACGTGGGTGCGGGGAGGAGTAATAGTATTTAGGCACCTTTCACTTGGGATTGGCAAATAGCCTTGCCTGGCAGAAACTGCTGGAAATTAAAATGTGGGGGTCTGTTCCAAAGACGGGGAGGAAGGGAGGATAAAGAAGGCAATATGGGGTTCCCTTCGAGGAGCCGAATCCCCGGTGGGATGGGAATCCTGCCCGCTCACCACCAAGCCTGAAGGAAGGTGAGCAGTAGGCAGGGGCAGGGAGCTCATGGCTTTTTCCCCCACAGGGCAGATGCTGGGGTCGGGCATCACCAAAGTCTTTCTGTACCTGCAGGGTGGGGCACAGGTAGGCTTATAGCTGTGAGCACTCGAAACACAGAGTTTATTCTCGTGTTATTATTTATGGATTATTATATTATTTTCCATATGGACAACAGTAAACCTACTTTTGCCCCTGTCTGTATTTAGGGGAGGGATCAACGTAGGATCACCAATGTTTAATTTTTCATTTTGCCAAGGGAGGGAAGAGAAACGGAACATCTGCTAGCACCGCAATTATGGAATGTCTTCCCTTTGACGCCCCAAAAGTTGGAGGGATGAGACCACAGACACACAGTAGTCCTCTTCAGGGGACCGACGTGGCCACGTGACAGCTCACGGCGGTGCCCAGCGTTAGTTGTCATGGGCCAGCTTGTTTGTCACGGGTAGTGGAGGTGTGAGGGGAGGGACTTGGGAGGTCAAGATGCACAGTGTGGCTCAGCACAGTGACATGCGGGCGCTCGCTATTCTGAGCGATCACACAGAACTTTCTAACAGGGAGCCGACCGGGCAGGGCTGGATCAGGAGGGAGTGAGCTCCCAGACATCACAGGTATCCAAGTGCAGATTAGAGGAGAGGATTAAAAAAAAAAAATCTATCAGAAGGAGCTAGGACAGAGCTAGGCAGCTTCTTTAGGCCTCTCTGACCACAGCTGCCTTCTGAGCACCCGAGTCAGGTGGACTCTCATGTCTGCAGGTTGTGGCCAGGACATCCGAGAACACAGACCTCTGCCTATCAGCCCCTTGGAGGAAGGGCCCATGGTCAATGTCCCCGCCTCAAACCTGTGGATGCTCCCCAGAGACTGGTCTCAACACTCCCCCCCCCCCCGGCCTGGAGTGTGTGGACCGTCTGCCTTGGGGCAGGAACATTAAAGTCCTGGACTTGCTCTTGTCACTGGCAATGAGGCCCCAAGCGCCTTCCCCGCAGAGGCACGCCCGGGACTGGCCGTAAGGAGCAGGCTGACTCTTGGGGGCGGGAGGCAGTTCTTTTAACTGGCCTGGCAGGCAAAGCTCAGTGGGAGGAACAGAAGGCAGATCAGGGGCCCCGGCGCCAGAGGACCTGGGTGGCAGGCTCACTTTCGCCCCGGAGCCTGACCCTGTCCTGGGGCTGCTCCTAAACGCAGCCCTGGGGTTTAATAAAGCAGCCACCATTTATAGTGACTCAGTGAGCCAGGACTGGTGGTCAACACCCAACGAGTGTTATTTCTTTTAATCCCTGCAGCACCCTTTGAGGTAAGAACTCATTTATATTTTACAGATGAGGAATCTGAGACACAAAGAGGTGAAGTAAACAGCTTGTGTAAGGTTTGCCTGACTCCAGTGATTAGGCTAGTTTGGGCTCCTTACTCAACTCCATCAACCTCAGGTTTTTCATCCATAAAAAGAGGATGAAACAGTCACCTCTCGGGGGTGCATGGGGAGGATTAAAGGTTCTACTATGAAGTGCTCAGCACAGTGCCCGGATATAGTTAAGCACTCCATAAATAAGTAGAAATCCTCACGGATCCTATCTCGAATCCTAACCACACTCCTTGGCCCACGCCGACTTAGATCCCTGGAAGCCTCAGTCTTCCAGCCTGTCTAGTGGGGCTGCTGCTCCTTGCCCTTCATTTTCGAAGTAAACTTAAAACTTTTTGTTTGGGAAACTGAAGCCGGATGTAGGGGTTTCTGGACCCCTGAGGACTCACTGGTGCGCTGGAGGTGGCTTGTAGCAACCCAGGACAGCTGACGGCTAAATTTCCAGGGTTTCGTCAGGCTCAGCCATTATTAAAAATTAAATTATATAAAAATACAATAAACTGACATTAAAAACAGAAGTAGTAAATATTCCAAACTCATCACATCCCAGCGATTTTCCTGCTTTTGACTATGATCCATACCCTTGAGGTTACCTACATCTGCTGGACTGGTCTGGGGCAAACACCAGGTAATTAATAGCCTGCCGCTCGGTAGCTCCTTCCCAGGTCGCATTCAGTGACATCATGGTGGTGGCTTGATGTGGGAGAATTGACCCCATGGAAACTGGTAAAGGCGTCACATCGGGGCTCTCCTCCAGCCCACCAGGAGGCCATGTCAGATCCCTATTTACACACCGCTGCTTAACGCGGCAGGGCCGCCACCCTGAACAGGCCGAAATCTGGGTTCCCCCCCGCTCCATCCATCCAGCTTGGGCCTCCCCAGAGTAATTCTCCCCTACACAGGGACAGGGGATCAGATGGACACCCCACAAAATTTTTAGAGGACCAGGTAAGGACCTAAGGGGAGACACCACAGAATAGCAAGGTTCCGGGGTTCCACATATACTGTGCTACTATTTATAATTTTGTACAATGCATGGCATTGTACAAAAAATATATATGTATATATATAAATAATGCATGGTATTATACTATATATATATGTATATTTAAATAAATATATTAGCTTATTTAAATTCTCTGAAAAATCACACAAAGCAGATATCCATCACTTTCCAAACTCAGGAGCCAGATAGAAGTGGGTAGTGAGGGAAACTTGTATTTATCCCTTTCATATAGCAGTGAAAATAGAGAAGTTCAGCAAATTGTTTAAGGCTGCAGGTCATCTCCCAGCAGGACATCGCCTCCTGCTCCTGTTCTGTAGAAAAGCCTGCCTTCCTGCAGTCTGGCCCCCTGCCCCCCTCCTGGCACCGTGCCCCGGGTCCTTACCCAAGCCTTCAGGCTCCTCTTTCTTTCTCCTGGGGGAAGCGCTCTGGGTGGGCTCAGCCCAGGGGCCACCAGGCCCGGAGGGGAGCAGCTGGAAGGTGGGGTCCAGTTCCAGAATCATCTGGTTGAGGCTCTCCAGGGAGAGGTCAATGTAGGAGTCCAGGTCGCCCAGGGCGCCTGAGGTCTGCTCACCCAGGGCTGGTAGGAGGCCGCTGGCCTTGGCTCCGGCCGGGGGTGCCTGCTGGAGCCGGTTGTGGGGCTCCTTGCAGGGCGTGGGGGCCATCAGCGTCTGTGCCCCCCAGCCTTGTGTGGTGTAGTAAGGACACTGCGGTGGCAGGTTGGGGCTGGGTGCTGGGTGCAGGGCCCTCCTGGGTTCCTCACAGGAAGCCAGATGGACTGCATGGCCTCCTGCCAGCAGGGAGCTAGACATCACCTGTGACATGGCGGGGGCAGCGTCCGCAGTTTACCTCTGGCTTCCGACCAGCCTCGCTTATATCACAGAGATGTCACCTGCCAACCAGGAGCTCCCAGGACCTGAAAGAGACCAGGGGTGGGAGCTGAGTACCTTGTATAGAGGAAGCCCCTTCCTCTTCTCCCCCGTCAATCAAAGGCATATTTATTCCTTCACTGAGAGACGTGGAAACCGGAGCCAACCCATCTGGGTTTGTGTCTCGGCTCCACCGCTTATAGCTGTATAATATCAGGCAGGTTAGATCACTTCCCCGTGCCTCAGTTTACTTATCTACAAAGTAAGTTAATATTTGTAACATGCTTAGAATAGCCTGGCACATACTAAGCATTATGCAAGTTATTGTTCAGTAAAATAACTTCAACAGATGTTTATTAAATGTCTACTAGGTACCAGCCTTATTTATTAAATGCTAGCTAGTATTTATTGAGTAATCGCTGTGTGCACAGCTACTGGTGTTTACACACAAAGTCTTAAAATCCTCATAACCACCCGATGAAGTAATATTATAATTACACCATATTATACTGTGGGAATGGAGACACGGAGAAGTAAATAACTTGCCTGGAGGGAAGTTGCCAACAAGTGTCAGAGCAGAACGGACCCCAGGGCTGCCTGATGTCAGAGCCCCTGCATTTAGCTGCTACCCCACGTGGGCCAGTGTGTGAACCAGACAAGTGAGCAGGTGAGCAATCACGCAAACAGTGAGACTAGGGAGGAGGGGAAGTGGAGGGGACTCTGTTGGCACTGGTGGGGAGGTTAGGGAGGACTTCCTGGAGGAAGGAACATGTATAAAGGGAGGCAAGAAGGAAAAGCAGGAGCTAGCTGGCCAAGCAGGTGTTCAGAGGCCCTGACAGACAGGGGAGATGGGGAGGCATTCCTGAGCACGCGGGAACAGGATGCACCTAGGGTGGACGGAAGGAAAGATGGGGTGGGGGAGGAAGAGAGCCGCAGGCTGGGCTCAGTGTGACAAGGGGGAGGAGCTGGAGACTGATATAATCAGATAATATTCACGCCCTGGGGGCTCATCCGGGAAAGAGGTGCCTCAACTTCCTCATTTTCCTCACTGTGGAAAGTCCTTCCTGTTATCTAATCCTAATGGCGCATATTAGTACTTTGCTACAGGTGGGGCTTTGTAGGGGGTAAGGAAACTGTAAGGAGCTTGGATGTGCTGGTCACACTATCACTGCTTGCCCTGAGCCTCGCCACTCATCCCCAATACTCCCCAACTCTGCTTCTCCTTTTTCCAAGACAGTTCCATGAGACCCCCTTTCTGAGTCAGACCCCCAATGCTAGAAAAGGTGTTGAGACCAGCCTGGGGCAAATGAAATAAATGTGGACTCTGGAGCTCAGAAGATTCAGATTTGATTCGCAGCTCCAACAGTTCCTTAGGGTGACAGCTGACCCTCAGCATCTTCCTCTGTGAGGTGGGCATGAGAGTTCCTGGCCTGTACCCTCCCCAAGAATGACCTGGAACCAGTGAAGTGCTGCTTGGGAAAGCAGCTGGACAGCTCAGAATGCTACTTAGAAATAAGGGCTTATCTAGGGCATACCAGCTTCATAAGAGTAGATAAGGACAATTTCCATTTATAAGCGTTCACCACGTGCCCAGCGCTCATCTGTGTGTGTTACCGCTGGTAACTCTCCTCTCACAATCCCAGGAAGGATCGCACCCATAGTACCAGCCCATTTTACAGGTGAAGATACTGAGGCTCAGAGAGGTTAAGAAATCTGCATGGGCTGCACACTTGGATAAGGGCTATAGCAGGGATTCAAACCCAAGCTGAGTGCCTTTGGACGCTTAACTCCTTGTGCCACATGGAATTCAAATGCAGAGGGACACCTGAGGTCCAGAGAAGGGATGTGATTTGCCTAAGTCACACAGTAAGTTAAGGAGAAAAGCCAGGCCCCTCTTCTCGTCCTCGGATCCTGCGGGCCTCTGCCAGAGTTCTCCTGGGCCGAGTCCTGGAGGGGGTGGCGCATCCCAGGCTCCTGGAGCGTGTCTATAAATGGCAGTGGAAGGGAATTGGTCTCCTGAGCTCCTTCCTGGGGGCAGCTGAGGACACGGAGCTGCGGCTTTTTCCTCACATCCTCTCAGAGGCCCGGGTTTGCCATGGCAGGACGTCGGCAGGGTTCTCGTCTGGGCCCCGCCGAGGAGGCTGGGCTTACTGACTTTATGGAGTACACTGGGGGCTGGGGTCTCCCCCTGGGTTGAGGACCCAGGATGCCTGCCAACTGATTTGGAAACTACTTTTGTTCCACCCTGGGAAGGAAGCCTTTCCTTCCTTTCTGGACCTCAGTTGTCCCATCTATATGATGGGGATATTACAATAACAGACAATTTAAATGTACTCATTTCCTTTTCTCAATGGTTCTGTGAGGAGGGTACTCTTACGGTGGGGCTAGAGAGGTTAAGGGATTTGCCCAAGGTCATACATCCCACAGAACATAGTGGTGGGATTGGCACTGGACCCTGGGTGGTCAAGGCTCCCATACACTATGCCTCTGCCTCATAGATTTAGGACCCCTTTCAACTGCTCCCCTCCCAGGATTCTGGAGCCCATGGGATAGGCCTGGGGGGGGGGCTGTTCTTCAACCTCCTCTCACTTTCATGTCCCTGAATCTCCCTGGCCCTCCCTGGGCAGGGCCGGGGCGCATTCCTTTATTCCTGGCTGTCCTGCCTCAACTGGTGCACTTTGCTAACTCTCTCTTTCCTGCTCTAAGGGGGAGGGTCAGGTCCCTGGGGCTCAGGACTTTGTGTGTGTGGGGTGGTGGTGGCGGAGATAGGACGTGTAGTGGCCAGAGAGGTCTCCAGCCACTCAGCCCTATTTATAGGTTCTTCCCACCCAATCCCCCTTCAGATTTGGACTCCAATCTCTTTGTTCCCAAGGCCTCTGGAGGTGGGCGCATCCTGCTACCTGGGCACTTTTCCTCTTCTGCGTCACTGCCAACCTCTTTTCCCTCCTGCAGGCCCAGGTTTGCGGAGGGAGAGGGTGGAAGAGAGTAAGCCTGAGTGCCCCCAAAAGCTACTTGCCTCAACCCTCACTCAACCCCCATCCTGGAAGAGTGGCTTCTGATCATGTCATCCCCTCCACCCCGGCCCAGGGACAGCAGGGACCTGCGGGACCACTGAAGGCTATGGTCCCCCGCCTCTGGGTTCCTGGCAGCCTGAGGGGCCCAGCACCAGGGCTCAGGCCAGGCTGAAAGGCGGGAGGCCTGGTTCTGTGCCCATCCCCCTCCCAAATCTGCATGGCCCTGGGCCAACCTCTTCCCCTCCCTGCACCGTAGTTCTCTCATCTGTACGCCCGGGACACAGAGTTTCTCCCTCAAAGTGCTGGACTCTGCGGTCTGTGGTCCTGAGACTGTTTCTCTCTCATTCACAGCCCCTTCCCCCTTTCTCTCCCCCTTCACCCTCAGCCTAGAGCCTCAGAAGTGGAGAAGCAGAGGCCACAGGGTTAAATGAGTCAGGGCTGGAAAGGTGCTGAGTCTCCCTCTCTTCTCCCTAAAGAATCAAGGCACCTACCTGGTGTCCAGGGCAGACAGGCAGCTGCGTTCACTCCTGGCTTCTGGGATCAAGACAGCTCAGAGACCAGGTAAGCAGTCAGGGGAGGTGCAGCTCACCTCAGACCCGCCTTAAGAGCACCCGCCCCCCTCCTCCCGTCAGGGTCCTGCACGTGGCCAACAGCCCGCAGGCCCCGCCCCTCCCCTGGCCGGTGGCTCAGGTGGGGCTGGCCCAGGCCCAGAGAAGGGAAGCACTGGGTGGTGGTGGCCCGGCCTGGCCTGAGGTGGGCTGGGGTTGGGGCTGTGTGTGAGGAGCTCCCGGACTGTCTTTCACCCCCAACCGCGCCTTGCCCCCGTGTGTACCACACGCTCAGCGGAGCCTTGCTGGGTTGGGCGGGGACCTGTTAAAACCAAGGTGTGCTGGCTGTGGGCATTCCTGTTACCACGTGCCCGCTGGGGGAGGGACCTCGGGCTGGCAGAGCCGGCAGAGGGTGAGGTTCTTGACCTAGGGAAGCAGGATGCCAGGGGGCAGGGGGCCCTCCCCACAGCCTCGTCCTGGGTCCTCTGGGCTGGTTTGCTCCGTGGCAGCACAGGGGGAGGGCGCATGGCAGTTAAGGCTGGGCGCAGGTCTTTTCTTCTTAGTCTGGGAGTGGGGCTTTTGCTCAAAGTGGGGAAGCTCTGAGTGTCTGGAAGCCTTTGAGAAGGGGCCCGTAGCCATACTTCATTCATTCATTCATTCATTCATTCATTCATTCACAGCTCTCCCTTGGCAGGGTCTGGTCTGTGCCCCAGGGTGGAAGTCCACATGGGGTGATAGCAGAGAGTCCAGAAGTCCAGGCATTTCCTCTCCCGGGCCCCACATTCCTCCCTGTTCTGTGCCAGGGTCCCAGAGGGTTGTGAGGGGTTGTCCAACGGGGCAAGTTTGTCTGCAGTGAAGGGAGCCGGTAGCTGCCAGCTCAGGGACTCGTGGCGATCCCAGCAGTGGCTAATCTTGGCGGTGAGTGGGCTGCCCAGATCCCCCATTAGGCTCAGTGGAAGGACTTCTGGCCTTAAAGTTTTTGATGCCTTGTGGCTTCTAGGAGGCACAGTGAAGCAGTGTCTTGGGAGGCCAGTAAGCACCACTGTGCAAAGCTGTAATAAGGTACCTCTTCGTGATGGTGGCATTGGACGGTGGCCCTGGGTGACCGTGCAGCCCAGGGGGTGCATGGCTTGGTGAGCAGTTGTGTCTTTGAATGAAGAAAATGACGTCCTTTCCTTGGGGCGGCGGTAGGAGCCAGGTGGGGTGCACTGCACACAGTGGGGCTTGGAGGGACAGCTGCTGAGTTTCCTGGGTGGAAGGGGCAGGTTCCAGGGACGCAAAGTGCGGGTCCAGGACTGTGGTGGTTTTGGCGTTAGCTCTGGCTGCCTCCCTGGGGACTGTCATCCAGAGCGTTTCTTGCAGTAATTCCTTAGGGTTGGGTGGGGTGGTCCCGGGGCTTATAACCCTGTGACTGAGGGTGACAGTCTGTCTTGGCAGGTTTAGCTTTTTTTTTTAAGCTCACATTTGGCCCCTTCTTTTGCCTTAAGCCGGTCCCAGGAACATTGATTTCAGCCTCACCCACCTCACAGAGTCTGCCCGCCACCCCTCCTCCCCCGCCCCCCACAGAGTCAGCCTCCCCAAGGGGTGTGCAGCACCTCTTTTTGTGTCCTTGATGTGATCGTGTGATTTTTCTTCTTTAGCTTGTTGTGATGGATTACATTAATTGGTTTCTAAATGTTGAACCAGTCTTGTATACCTGAGGTAAATTGTGCTTGGTTGTGGTATATAATTTTTTTAAAGGTTTTATTTATTTATTTTTAGAGAGAGAGGGGAGGGGAGGCGAAAAAGAGGGAGAGAAACATAGATGTATGAGAGAGATACACTAATTGATTTCCTCTCACACGCCCCCCCCCCCCCAACTGGGCACCTGGCCTGCAACCCAGGCATGTGCCCTGACTGGGAATCAAACCAGAGACCCTTTGGTTCGCAGGCTGGCACTCAATCCACAGAGCCACACCAGCCAGGGCTCATCTTCAAATCTTTAACTTAATTGTATCTGCAGTGATCCTTTTCCCAAATCAGGTAAAGTTGAAAAGTGACGGGGGCTAGGATTTGATATTTTTGGATGGCCGTTATTCAACCTACTGCATGGAGCCACTAGAAGACTTAGAATTCTGTATGTGGCTTGCATCACATTTCTTTGGGCAGCCGTGGGCTGCAGTAACCCCTGCCTGAGGGAGCCAGAGAAACTCTCAGGTTCATGAAGGACATTCAAAGTGGGGGGGGGGGGAGAGGACCAGCATGGGGGAGATCGGAGAGGTGAGAAAGAACCTGGGGTGTCCTTGGGACCCTCGGAGAGGTCCCTGTGGCTGGAATTCAGGGTGAGTGTGGGACGGGCGCTGGAAGAAGAATTTGGAAAAATGGTGTGTGCATAGCTTCGCCTCCCCCTGTTAAGCCTTCCTGAATACCTCATTCTCACATTCCACTGCCTCTAGAGTTCTGGCTGGGCCACAGGTTCTGTCCACCGAATGGGCTGGGGAGGTGGCTTGTGGTGCTGGTCGGCACGGTGATGGAGACACTGGGATTTGGGGACTGCTGCCTTGTGTTATCCAGCGTCCAGCTTTGCAGGTGTGGAGCAGTTGTTGCCGAAATGGCTTCTGACCCTTGTGTTGGTTAAGGGATGGTTCTTGAAGGCGACAGACCCCGGGTGGCTCCTGATTTCTTCCTGACGATGCCAGAGGGAGCAGCCCCAAGGTGGGTCCCCTGTTTCTCTGGGAGGCATTTTTGCAGGTGCAGCTTGTTTGTCTAACCCTTCCATGATTCTGTAAGTACCGGATTACCTGCATGAAATTCCTTTCTGCTTAAATTAGCTAGTGTGGTTTCCGCTTCCTGCCGGTGACTGAGGCAGGTGGCCTGGCCAGGGGGAGAGGGACCTGGGAACTGGCCTAAGCAGCCTGACTTTTCTGCTGTGAGCAATGGAAACACACAGGAGGCTCTAAATGTTTTAAAAAATATTTTTTATTTATTAAAAAATAAATTTTTATGTTTCAGTTACAGTTGACATACAATATTATATTAGTGTTGGGTGCATGACATAGTAATTAAGCACTTATATAACGTACAAAGTGATCACCCCAATAAACCTAGCACCCATCTGATACCATACATAGTTATCACAATATTATTGACTGTATTCCCTGTGCTGTACATTGCACCCCAGTGACTGTTTTTGTAATTGGCAATTTACACACCGTAAGCTCTTCCCCACCCCCACCCCAACCGCCTCCCACCTGGCAACCATCACACTATTCTCGGTATCTATGAGTTTGTTTCTGCCTTGTTTATTTGTTTATTTTGTTTTTTAGATTCCACATGTAAGTGAAATATATGGTATTTGCCTTTCTCTAGATGACACTTTATTTAGCATAAAACCCTACAGAGGAAGTTTTCAAGCAGAGCCTGAGAGCAGGGAGGGAACGACATGAACATATTTGTGCCAGAGAAAAATTATTTTGCTTCAGGCAGGTGAAGAGCCTCCTATGAAGGTGGCAGAGGGGCAGGCCTTGCTTTTTTCTGCGACTCTCTCTTCTTGGGGGTTAAGGCAGATGCAAAAGACTGGGAAGGGATGTTCTTTGCTACGATGGGGCAGGGAACTGACAGGGTGGTCAGCCTCCTGAACATTCTAGGCTCTATTTGTAGCACGCAAGACTGAAATTAGTAACACGCAGGGATTCCCAACAGAGACACCAGTGGGAATTTTGATAACTCAAAACCAGAATGTGCATCAAGGCACAGAGGGAGCAGAGCGGGTGAAAGGTCAGACTGCATTCTGGATGCCGGAATGTGCACTGGTTCTCCATTGCCAATTTGCTGTGACCACCAGGAAAGGTCCTCTGAGGGCCTTTGGGTTCCCTCTGAGCAGGAGGGAGGTCTTGTTTCCCTTCTCCTGTTGTGGTGGGAAGGCTGAGAAGGAGAGGAGCGAGGTCCTTCTTATCCCAGGGGAGGGTGCTCGGTCTTTGTGACTGGATGCCCTCCGGAGGCGGGACATGTCTCAGGTCTTATTCTTCTGCACCTCTGACACCTTAGCTGTAAAGTGTTCCTGCCTGAAACGGCACCCGCATGCCAGGTGAGGCCCAATCCAGGAACGTCTTCCTCATGGATGCCCCCACCCATGCAGGGTGGGCCCCTGCAGTCTCTAAAGCCGGGGCTGGAGGGGCCCTTAGGTGCTCAGTCGTCCTTGATCTCAACTTGTAGAATACCTATTTATTTATAAATTATATACATAGAACTTTATAAATTATGTATATGAACTAGATACATGAATACATATTAGTGTGCATTTTAAAGTATATGTACATTATCAAGTACAGTACATAATATACAGATATGAATAAATTGTACATTATGTATAGTATGGTAGGTACGTTATGAAACTATGTAAATAAAATAGTTTTCAGGTAATTTTGGTGGCACTTCGCTTAATAATGGTTAAAATCCCTTTTTGTTCTTACAATGACAGCAATGCCGTTAGATATGCTTCTTTATTTTTGAAAATCCTGGTTTCAGTACTTGCAGAAGAGTGACTCGCAGGCCTGCTCCCAAGTCTGGTTCATTTCAACACTCAGTTCCATAGGCCGGCACGGCCAGAGGGCGGCCTGAGGAGGAGATGCAGGTCCAGGCGGCCGAGGCGCGCAGTGGGTTTGGCTCATTCCACCGCGACATCCAGGGCCATCCTCCAAGTACGAAGACGTTTTGTTTGAAATTGACTTTCAAATTTCCATCTTCTCTCCTGTCAGTCAGTTGTTCTTGCAAAGAAATTGGAGTACGTTGTATTTCAGTGCTTCTAGCAAATGAATTTTAAGCCCACTCAACTTCTTCATTGGGAAGATTTTAAAGCAAGTTTAAAAATTCCTTTGTTTTCTGTGTATGTGTGTGTGTGATTTTTTTTGAAGGGTAGATAGAAAAGATCTTGGGAACACATAAGATTTTGAACAACAAGGTCATATAACAATGTGAACACTTTCTAACTTTATTTCTAAATCATACTATTTGCCTTTCAAAAAAGGTGCTTCCTCGACAGCTGTTTAAACTTCACCTTTACCCTGATGACGAGAGACATCATTTTTGGAATGTCACCTGCCATCGCCCCCAACAGACAATCCTGTTTTCCCTTCGTGGAACGTTGGATGAAGTCACGCGCTAGGATTCAGGTGAAGGGCCGCTACTTCCTTACTGCTTCTTTGCAGGAATCTTTTGAGGCCGCTTGTCGTTTTTAAAGGCAGATTAATTT